TACACAGGTCACCTTTTTAAGATTGATCTGCATTAGCACTTTCTTAAGTCTAGACAATCAAGAAAACAATAAATCAAACCCTGATTTCTGAGGTGTAAATGCTCACACTGAAAATTTAAGAATTGGTTTTGGCCACCTGATTGAAGCTGACTCCAGTATAATCTTGGGTGAAGTGCCTTGATTTTCTGTTAAAATGAATGTCTGCCCATTTTTAAGGTTAAAAAAAAGCTATTTGCATAGCTTGCTAGTAATCAGTGTTTTAAAGGTATCTACCCTTCCTGAGTATACTAACTTTTTTATTCTAGAGATTTGTAAGCCCCACAAGATTATTCTTTCAAAATACACAGTGTATCATTTCCTTTCATCCAAGAGCTGAAAGCAAAGATAAGAATGCCATCCCTAGAAGTGGAATTAGAAGGCCCATGTGAGCTAGAAAAGCTACACACAGGCTTATTTTCCTTTTTAACGTGGTTTCTAAATAATACAGAAAAAATTAAACAACAAAAATGTTTCTTAAAGCCTATTGTAAGGGAACTGCAGAAGTAGCTAGATGGTATAGTGGACAGAGCATTCAACTTGGACTCAGGAAGACCTTAGTTTAAATACAGGCTCAGGCACTTACAAAGCTGTGTGACTTTGGGCAAGATACTCTCTCCAGGACCCAGTTTCCTTATCTGTAAAAAGGGGGTAATAACAACACGTATCTTCCAGGGTTGTTGTGTAAATCAAATGAGGTAAGATATATAAAATGTTTTGCAAATTTAAGGTGCTATATAAGTGCTAGCTATGTAAAATGCTTTACAAAGCATAAGGTGCCATATATGGGAAGCTATGTGGCACAATGGATAAAGTGCTTGGCCTGAAGTTAGGAAGACTTAATTTCTTGAGTTCAAATCTGTCTGCAGACACCTACTGTGTGACCCTGGGCAAGTCACTTAATCTTGTTTGCCTCAGTTTCCTCATCTGTAAAATGAACTGGAGAAGGAAATGGCAAAACACTCCAGTATCTTTGCCAAGAAAAATCCCAAATAGGGTCATGGAGAGTTGAACATAACTGAACAACAACCACAAGGTGCTATAGAAATGCTAGGCTTTTTTTTTTAAGGAAAAGAAATGTGACTCATGTAATTGGCAAGGTGGTAGAGTATTTTCCACATACTCATCCAATTTAACAATCCCAAAAGATATAAAATATACACCTAATCTAGAATAATTAAAGCTAATTAGTTTTTTAAGATGAGAAGATAGAAACCTCAAAAAAGTAAAAGCTTCATGAAATAACATTGGACAATTAGAATACTTAGAATCCTTATTTAACATTCCTCCATCTGGTTCATGACACTGGCTAAGTGTAATTAACACAAGCGATCTTGAAGGCTTGAGTTTCATGATCTGCCGCCAAGATCCCTGACAAGTTTTGTTACAATAATTACTATTTTAAAAGAAGGAAGGGAAAAATTATTAAGTTCCTACTATTTGCCAAATACTGCATTTGATGAAAACTATTTCATTCTATCCTTACAACAATCCTGTGAGATAGATGCTGTCATTACCATCATTTTATATTTGAGGAAACTGAGACACACAGAGATTAAATGACTTACTCAAGGGCATACAACTAATAAGTATCTGAGGTTGCATTTGAAATTCATCTTTCTGACTCCAGTTCCACTGATCTATCAACTATACCTCCTAGCCACCTCTGTCTCATGCCCATAGCTTCACAAGAGGCAGAAGAAATTGCTGTGATCCCACCCATTCATTCAAAGGAAAAAGAATGTAACTGGAGGAGTGTGGGGTTGTGGGTAGGGAGAATATGGCAGCATATAGACAATTAGAAAGAAATGCCACCAAAGGGATTTTTAACTCTCTCTCTCTCTCTCTCTCTCTCTCTCTCTCTCTTCTGTGTGTGTGTGTGTGTGTGTGTGTGTGTGTGTGTGTGTGTGTGTGTGTTATGGATCCCTCTGGCAGTCTGAAGAAACCTGCTCCTTTCTCAGAATGATGTTCCTAAATGAATAAAATACATTTGGAATACAAAGCAAACCAATTATATTGAAATACAGTATATATAATCTATATCTATATCTATATATTTCATGAACTTGCGTGTGTGTGTTTGTGTGTGTGTGTGTGTGTGTGTGTGTGTGTGTGTGTGTGTGTGTGTACGTTTTCTATAAAATCTTCTGTACTTCAGAAAAGAAGCCCAGCTTGGGTTAGTCCTTTCCCACTGAGCTTGCTCTGAGTAGGGAGCCAGCTGAACACCCTCCAACACGGGGGAACTCTTCAGCCACAGCAGAATGAGAGGCTGAGAATGAGGAGGGAAGCCAGAGAAAAGGTAAAGGTTATTGAAGAAAAAGACAAAAATAAAACCCACACAAATTTCGAGATAGAGTAGGTATAAGCCTAGCTCCTAAGCAAATACACCAAATGTAAGACTCATATTGACTTAAGGGAAAATGGTTAAAAATTCAAAGACCCATGGAATACTGAATATGTATTATATTATGAGTAATTTGTGCCGCCTATAAAAATTCTCATGTATCCTAGTGAAAAAGAGAATTTTGTGAATTCCTTAGAGATCATTTAACAAGAGGCAAGAAATTCTAGAATGTTTCAAAAGAGAAATAAAACCAAAAGAAGATATTGGGATAGAAGTTAGGGTCAGAAATCAGAATTCTCGTATTAGAATCAATGAAAGAAAACCATAGATGGTAGAACTGATAACTAATGATGGAGAATCTCTCCAAAGAAACAGAAGTTCTGAAAAAAGAAAATGTCAGGTCTAGAGAACAAAAATATGGATGTAGAAGAAATATTTTAGAAGAGAAACAAAAGATTCTGATGGGACATGTGGAGTCTATAGTAGCAAAAGCAATAGACCTTGAAAGCAGGACTCCCAGAGACATTAAAGATCATAGGCATCCCAGAAGAACACAATATATTTTTTTAAAAACCTAGATGCTATATTACAGGAAACAATTCAAGAAGATTTTCCAGCGCTTTTGAATACAGACAACAAAATACTGATTAATTTACTCTAGATTGCCACCATAGAAAAATCCAGTGCTTAAAACTCCAAGGCATATGGTGGTGAAATTTCAAAAGTTTGTTACCAAACAACAGACTTGGTGAGCAAACAAGAAGAAAACCTTCATTCATGTTAAACATCAATTCAAGTAATTCAGAATAATTCAATAGTCATGAAAATTAGGGGGAAAAAATGAAACTGATATTTCAAAAAGCAAAAGAACTCAGGTTGCAACCTAAAACAATATATCCTGCAAGGTTGAATATAATCAGCAAATAAAAAAAAAAGATAGACTTTCAACAAAAAGAAGGTATTTGAAGCATTCCCTAAAAATACCAAAACAAAACAAAAGACAAAATACTATCCTGCAACCTACAAAAACTATAAGTGAGCAGGAATTTCAAATATTACAAATAAAGGAATGGCCAAAAAAAGCTAAATAAATACAATTATCAAGAAAAAACAATGAAATAATTTTCTTCATATTTATAGGCATTTTTTTTAAAAAATCAAGTGGACTGACGAGTAGAAGAAAGAACATAAAAGAATCATCAATAGACAAAAAAGGACCTAGTAGATTAATGATTTAAGAAGATCAAAAAATTGAAATAGATTAAATCCTTCATTTCCCTGTCAGTGAATCAATATCTTTTGTGAAAGGAATAACAAATTTGGGAATTGCTTGACAAGGAGAGAGGAAGAAAGAAAGAGATATGAAGATGCACTCTGACTCAGCCCAGGTACAAAAAGAAAATGGATAATAATTTCTTTAATCTCTCAACAAGAGTGTAAAGATTGTGAGAGAATAAGAAAAAAAGTAAAGGAGGGAAGGGACATGGAGGGAGGAAGTGAAAGGCAGGTCTTGCCCTAGAAGAGAAAATGACTGAGTGCCATTAAAGATTATTCTTGTGGGTTGAGGGAGGTGTATGCCTTGGTAACAGGCAAGGGAATTATATGTGCATACACATGTGTCTATGTACACATATGTGAATATATATATATATTTGTATATAATGATTATACATCACACATAAATTTTCCCATAGGGGAAATGGAAACACTCAGAGATTACTTTCTCATAACTAAGGATTGTACATTCAAGGACTAGATCCCTTCCAGGATGGGATGTAAAAGTCACCAGGAGTGGTCAGTACACAGCATATTAGGGAGGACATGGAACTAGAAATAGCGTAACCTCGTTTTAGAAATGGTAGGTAATCATGGTAAAGACTAGAGGTAGGACAATGCTGGATAATTTGGAATAAAGAATGACTCTCATCATACAATACTAATTTCTTCATGAATGATATTCATTAAAAGTGAGACACAGAAGACAAATGTCCCCCTCCCCCAAAGAATAAATACACAGGGTAAAGGGTGAGTGACATCATCAAATTTTTAAAAAAATGGAAAAGAAGAAGGAACTCAAAATTGGTTCTCCAGAAGCTCTATCTTTCTGAGGGACAGAGTGAGAATAAAGAAGGAACAAGTGAGGGTGAGCTCATGAATGGGAAAAGGGACTTTAAGATAGATTAAAGGTGGATAGAAATAAGGAAATGAAAAGGAAAATTTATAGAAAACAATACCAAAAAGAATATTATTTAATCCAAGAAGTTTGGAGAGAAGAGGGAAGGATGATTTTGAATCACATACTTATCTTGGAAGAGAAAGAGAAGGGTCAGAAATACAGAAGGGGAACAGGAAAGAAAGAGAAAGGAAGGAAGGAAAGAAAAGGATGGGAGAAAAAGAGAGAAAGAAAAGATACTTATGTTGTGGCTATATATATGCATACATATATACATATATATGGAAGAGAGAGAGAAATTTTTTTAAAGAAAAAAGTGCAAGATGAGCTTGAGCTGGCTTATATACTATTATCAGTTCTAGAAAAATACTCACCCCCCCATTCCAGGATAAAAGTCATAATCTTAAGCACAGGGTAATGTAATCTATCAAATCATAAAAGGCTTACTTTTCAAATAGCAACCTCTTCACCCAAATCAGTGGATTCTCCTGAGTGCTGAAGAGGATGTCTATCTCAGGCTTCCTCTCTGTAATACGTCTCACTGAGTGAATACCTTTATTTCATCTGTCACTCATATTTATTTTGGATTTGGTGACAGGGTATATTTGGGATTGATTCAGTGTCAGCAAAAGACCAACCCCATTTTGAGAAGTTTGCAGCAGGCAGTGTGGGATGGTCAGACAGTTACAGGGCATTGCCTCAAGTGCCACACGAGCTACACTAGAATTTTTGGCAAGTGCCACTGGTATCACAACTGGGCTCAGGAGCAAATAGTTCTTCTTTGACAGGCACAAATGACTGGAGCATGCTTGGTATGGGACTCACTGGGACTCTAGGCTAACCTCATCCAGAAAACTACACAATGTACCTTGTTTGACCTAGCTCACACATTTCAAGATTGTGTTACTACAGTGGCTAACAGAAATCTTTATCTTATTTTTTCCTCCTTTCTCTTTTCTTTTGAAGTACTTCTTTGAAAATAGCCTTGTTAGTTACAAAAGCAAAACTATAAATTCTGCAACTGACACACACAACTAAATTTGATAGGGATGCAGCCTCTGTGATATTTGCAAGTCGATTCACTCTCCTTCAGAACAAAAGGAGAGAAATCTGAACCATGCTTCTAAAATGTCATGACAAAAGTGTATCAGGCAGCAAATGAACTAAATGTTGAAAGCCTGGACTTAAAATTCAGGTCTAGCTGATTTATGCTCAATTAGCTATGAAAAATGAAAAACAGAAAACTAGAATCATTTGTATAGAATGCCTAGAAAAACATTTTGCATGTATTATCTCATTTCATCCTTAAAATAATATACTGAGATCTTGCAGGGAATTTTTTTGAGACTCAGGGAAGTGCCTGAGATCACACAGCTAGTTAGTGTGGGAGCTGGGCTTAGACTCCCAGTCTAGTGTTCCTTTGATATATCAAAGGCTGTAAAGGACCATATTTCTGAATGTCCCCCACCCCATCTTCATGTCAACTTCCTCTACTTACCTTTTCCATCTTGGTATTTAAATCACTTTCCATAAGGCATTTAAAAATCTTTCTAGATGAGAACTTTAGCATTAAAGAGAAAAAAAAAAACCTCCACTAATTTTTGCACATATTTTATAGGTCGTGTTCCCAAAGGTTTATGCCAGTCACCTGGTATATTCTGAGGGTCATTTTTGACTCTTTTCCTTTCTCTACTTAGTATTCTATATTCCTTTAATCCTGGCTGTTTTTCCTTCAAGATATTTCTTCTATCTCTTAATTTCCATTTCCACAGCCACTACTTAGTCTAGGTCAGGGGCTCCTAACTCTTTAATTCATGTCATAGACTCTTTGGCAGACTGGTGAGACCTCTGGACCCCTTCACAAAATAATTTTTAAAAGTAATTGAAGGAGATACTAGATTTCAGTTAGAGGTTATTGAAAATTAAGATGTATTTTTTTTCCTCATCCAAGATCACAGACCCCCTGCAGTCTATATACAGACCTTTTCAGAGTCTGTGAATCATAGATTAAAAACCCAAGGTCCCCATCCTCTTTCTTTTGGATTGTTTCAAAAGTCTCAAGTGAAAACTTTGATGTATAAAATATACAATATACAATATATACAGAGCTGTGAGGAAGTGTGATATAGTTGAAAAGAGCATGAAATCTAGGATCAAGAGACTTGGATTTGGGTCTTAGTTTCCAGACTAGCTAGGTGAGGGGCATAGACATCTCTTAACCTCTCTGACAGTTTTCTCACTTGTTATTTGTGATGATACTTGCAATACCTTCCTCACAGGGTTATTCTGAAGAAAGTGCTTTGTAAGCCTTAAAGTCTTATGTAAATGTGAGTTGTTATGATTAAAAATATTTAAGAACATTATCTAATTACCATTCGTTTAGTGACTAAAGGTTACAAATAAACAATTAAGGAGGATAATATAAAATTGCAAATAATCACTGGGGGAAAATTAAATGAAAGAAATATGAATTAAAAGACATCACCTGGAACTCACCCAGTTAGCAAAAATAAATGAAAAAAACTCAATGGAGAGGCATGATGGTTATATAGGTATATACATTCATTGCTGGAGGTATTTCAAATAATTGGAAACAAGTTTCAGAAAAATTACTTTTGTGGACTTCAGAATTAATTAAAAAAACTATACCTTAGATAAAATAATCCCACTATTTAGAATACATGATCAAAACATTATCAAACATTTTAAAAATTATTATGTTCTTAATTTTCATGATCTGTCTTTTCTCATTCTCCTTCCCCCTTTTTTACATTCCAATTGAAAAAAGAAAAAAAAAACCCTGTTGAAAAACATGCATCATCAAGAAAACAAATTCCCATATTGGCCATGTCCAAAAAAAAAAATGTATCTCAAGCTGCGTTCTGATTGCTTCACATTTCTCTGGGTAGATGGGTGTGATTGGTCATTGTGGTGATCAGAGTGTAGAAGTCTTTTAAAGTCGTTAGTCTTTACAATATTGTTGTCACCGCAGAAGTTTCTCTTGGTACTGCTCACTCCACTCTGCATAGTTCCTACAAGTCTTCCCACATTTCTCCAAAACCCACCCCTTTCTCATTTTTTAACTGTCAAAGCATTTGTTTTACAAAGTTAATGATCTGTACAAGGATATTAGCAGGTGACATCTATAATATGGGAAAATTAGAAGCCAGCAGTAGAAAAATAGTTTAAAAACAGCAGTATGTCACAGTGTGATACATTTAAAATGATAAATATGAAGGCTAGGAATAATTTGGCAAGATATACAAAGTACCGTAATGCAAAGTACAGAAAGTAGAACTGAACAAACAGTATAAAAATAACAATAAAAACTGGCATTTGTATAATACTTATGGTTTGCACAAATAATCTTATTTGAATCTCATAACAATTCAAGGACAGATATTATTATCCAATTTATAGTGAGGATACTGAGTCTCAGAAAGGTTAAGTGATTTGCTTCTAGTCACAGAGCTAGTAAGCACTGTAATTGAGGTTCAAATGCAGGTCTTTCAGAGTCCAAGTCTAACATTTTTCTGGTTGTATGTTTTGATCTTCTTTGTCACTAAAGTAAGATTCTATGGTCTGACTTTTTTTTTTGCTCTGTTTGCTCATGTCCTCAGCCAATTACTTGACTTTTAAATTCTTTGTTAAAGTAGGGGTCTGCTTCCAGTGCAGAGTATGTACTCTTCCAAGCTTCAGGGGTTTTGTACAGCTGTTTTCAGAGATACTGCTAGGGATCTGTAAATTTTCAGTTCTTCCAAGATGGTATGATCAAAGGAGAGGTGTTTACTCTTCTCTTGGCCTGTGCTCTGGCCTGTGAGTGACTACAAGCACTCTTTTCTGTCTTGGAACTGTGAGGAGGATTATCTCTTCACTGTTGCCACAAGCTCCACCACACCAGCACTTCTCCTTGCCCCAGGACCACCACCTAGAATTGCGACTCACATCCAAACAAGGGAAAAGCAAGAGAATCCTGCCTTAGCACCAGCAAAGATATCCCTGCAATCCTCTGATCAGCCACTTGATCCCCACTCTATGGGGAGCTCTGAAAGCAGCTGCCACCCTGGGGCTGTGCTGGTGCTAGGGCCAGATTGAGCTCCTCTCTCACTGAGGTCAGACATTTCCTGCTGACCTTCTAAGTTGTCTTTGGCATTTGTGGGTTAAGAAGTCTGGAAAACACCACAGCTCCCCTTGATTCAATCCCTTGAGGATTGCTCCAAGTTTGCTGAGGCCTGGTGTTTGCCTGCCAGGTCCGTGCTGAACAGTGCTCCTCTCCCAGCCTTGTGCAACGGACCTTTCCTGCCAACCCTCCAGGTTGTCTTGGGCTGGAAATTTGTTTCACTCTGTCCTTTTGTGGGTTCTGCTGCTCTAGAATTTGTTCAGAGACATTTTTTACAGGTATTTGGAGGAGTTTGGGGGAAAGCTCAAGCAAGTCACTGCCTTTACTCTCCATCTTTGCTCCACCCTCCCCAAGTCTAACTTTTTTAAAGGAAAAATACTTATATATGTTTGGGAGGGAGGAACAAAAGAGAAGGGAGGAAAGGGAGAGGGAGAGGGAGAGGGAGAGGGAGAGAGAGAGAGAGAGAGAGAGAGAGAGAGAGAGAGAGAGAGAGAGAGAGAGAGAGGGAGAGAGAGAGAGGGAGAGAGAGAGAGAGAGAGAGAGAGAGAGAGAGAGAGAGAGAGAGAGAGAGAGAGAGAGAGAGAGAGAGAGGAGTCACAGAGAAAAGAATCAATAATCCTCCCTAGTTAGCTTTATGTTAGAATTCATTTTTATATAAATAGCTCAAAATGTATAATCATACTTATTGATATTTAAAGATGTTTCAGTAAATTACTTAACAAATTAATGCTGTTTTTCTACTTTCATATGATTTTTTCTTTTGTTCCAGAATTCATCAGGTTTTTCTACTCATTTTAATTCCTGCTCATTCGATAGCAAATGCTTTTCTAAATGAGTTACTTTCTGGTAAATCAGCATTCAACCTAGAAAGACTAAAAGAGAGAAGACCCAAGAAAAAGGTATGTATCCAATTGAGATTCATTGAAGGATATTGATACCTATATTGATATTGATATCCTTCAATGAATCTCATTTGGAGATATTTATTTGTATGTATATACACACACATACAGAGTCAGAGTCTTCCTGAAGGCTAGAGATAGGGGATGCTACAAATCTCCAAGTTATGCAGTATAATATGTGGAAGATGGTTGAGTGGGAGATAGCAGCTCACAAAAATGGCTTCCCAATCTTTCTCTTTAGTACATGAGAGGTCCATCACTGATATGTGCAGGTAGGTTTTCATGGGTTTTAGGGCAGTGATTGTTGGAAAAGCAAAATGTTATCTATTACCTCTTTTCTTAAATTTATGTTTTAAGAACTTTTTATATTTTCATTGGTGATGGGGTGAAGGAAGGAGAAAAAGAAGGAAGGAGAGTATCTCACTCATCTCATGACCAACTTTGAACCTATTCTCACTGAGACAGGCCCCTAACTTTAATAGCCTTGGCTGGCCTCTGAAAAACTACTCCAGAGTTCAGGAAATAATTTCTCACACAAATATCCATTAGTTCAACAAACCTCATGGCAAAATAAATAACAAAGTTATTTGGTTTGTCATGGCCTGTATTTCTCACTAATTC